TGAATCATCATGTAAATATCTGATATGCAGGATGTATTTTCATTGTTACAAATTGAACATAATGAAAGCATAGTGATTAATCACAAAACAATATGTAATTATATATTGTAAAATATTTATTTCTCGTGACAAATAAATAAAATTTTGTCTTGAAGCATGGCGTAGCATGGGTAACAGTCTTCATTCTGGGTACTCACATGTGGACCTATCTGCACATGGGCGGACCCGCCTGGAGACGAGTAGAGGAGCGGTGTTGCTATTCCTAAGACCATTGGAAATATGTGTTTTCCGATGGTCTTAGATGACCCTTGTGAAAGGGTCGTTTGACCCCCAAAGGGTCACGACCCACAGGTTGAGAACCGCTGATCTATGGTTATGTATGTCTCTGGTTCACCGGAGAGACGCCACTGCCATTTTATGTTAGAGAACATTATCAGTCATCCCCCCCTGGGGCATCACTTCCACTGCCTTCAAGGCAATGCTAACACATAGTGACCCATAAAGGGCAGGGTAGAATGCCCCTTAGGCTGTAATATTTACATCACGATGTCCTCCAGGGACTGCTTCCTCTAGATAACAGCCAAAGTACCTGCGATGTAGTCTCACTCTCCACACTTCTAAGGAGCAACAGGCTGCACTTCTTCCAGACAGATTCTTCCTTCCTCTGACAGTCCACCATAAACAAGAAGTTGCTGTAATGCAAGCATCTGACTTATGGAGAACTGTTGTTTCAGCTAATAGCTACCCTCTGTACAACAGAATGAAACAAAACCCCGTCCTGCACGATCCTGACAATTGCTACGTTTGAGTCTATTTTCATAGCCACTGTGTCAATCCATTGTCCAGGGTCTTCCCCATTTTCACTCCTTCTCTAGGTACTATGCATGGTCAGGAGTATGTGAGATCAAGTCTCGATATCCTTAAGTTTAAGGAACATTCTGGTCATACTTCTTCCAAGACAAATTTGTTTGTTCTTGTGGGAGTCCATGGAATTTTCAGTATTCGTTGCTGGCACCATAATTCAAATCCACCGATTCTTCTTCAGGCTTCCTTATTCAGCGTCCAACTTTCACATGCAGATGAGGCAATGGAAAACACCATGGCTTGAGTCAGGCACACCTTAGTCCTCAAAGTAACATCCTTGCTTTTCAACACTCAAATAAGTCTTGTGCAGTAGATTTACCTAATGCAATGTGTCATTTGACCTCTTGGCTGTTGCTTCCATGAACGTTGTGGATCTAAGCAAGATACAAACCTTGACGAGTTCATTTTTTCCCCTCCATTGATCATATTGTTACCCATTGGTCCAGTTGTGAACATTTTTGTTTTCTTTGAATGAGTTCTAATCCACATTGAAAGCTATAATCCTTGATCTTCATCAGCAATTGCTTCAAGTCCTCCTCACTTTCAGCAAGTAAGGTTGTATCATCTGCATTTCGAAGGTTGTTAATAAGCCTTCCTCCAATCCTGATACTGAATTCTTTTTTATGTAATCCATCTGCTCTGGTTATTATCTCAGCATACAGATTGAATAAGTAATGGTGAGAGGCATATCCTTGATGCACATCTTTCCTGATTTCAAAGCATGCAGTATTCCCTTGTTTTGTTTGCACAGTTGCCTCTTGATCCATGTACAGGTTACACATGAACACAGTAAAGTATTATGGAAATCCCATTCTTCTCTAGGCGAATCATAGTTCTTATGGCCCACGCAGTAAAAAGCCTTTGCAATCAATACAATTCAAGCAAGCATCTTCCTGGTAGTCTGCTTTCAGCCAAGACCCCATATGACATTAGCAGTGATATCCCTTGTTCCACATTCTCTTCTGAATCTGGTCTGAATTTCTGGAAATCCTCTGCTAATGTACTTCTATAACCATTATTGGATGATCTTCAGCAGAATTTTACGTGCATATGATACTTAAGCATTCTATTGGATCATCCATCTTTGAAATGAGTAGAAATATGAATCTCCACCAGTCAGATGGCCAAGTGACTATCTTCCAAGTTTCTTGGCATAGATGAGTGAGCACTTCCAATATTTCATCAGCTTGTGGAAACATTTCAATTTCCATCAATTCCTGGAGCTCGTTTTGGCTGATGGTTTCAGTGTGCTTGAACACCCTCCCTCAGTACCATTGGCTCTTG